TTTGTAAGTGGATTTTTAGTCTGATCCTTTAAGGAAGCAGGTTAAGAAAGCGTGTGTGTGTGTTGGGGGCTGTTCCCCAGGGCGGGTGGCACAGGGTGGTGGCCAATGTCCCACTCAGGACTGTCGATGGCACCTGCCAGCCCTGCGCAGCCTCGTGTTTTCAGCCCTGCGGGGCACTCACGCTGTGGAACCATCTCAGCAGGTTTCCACAGCCCTTTGGATGATCTCTTCCCACTCTGGTGCCCTCCTGCCCAGGCTGTCGCAGGCACCCTGCAGCCAAGTAAAACAAGGCAGCAGATCCTAATTTCAGGTTGGGAAGGGCAGGGCAGGGCTGCCCCCAGCCCAGCAGGGAGGATGTCTGTGTTTGCCCTCACAATGAGCCTGGTCCTCCGGTTCCCCTGGGAACGTTGCTGTTTTCCAGGCAAGGTCACAGGCCAGCAAGGAAGCAAGTTCCCCTCGACAAGTAGGTTTCAGCATCAAGCTTTGAAGAACCTCATCTACCAGTTTAGAAATTTTACCGATTTCTATGAAGTATCTTGAGAGTACTCCTGTGGGTAGATCATATTTTTAAGAAGTCACTCACACCACCTCCTCAGTGGCACTGCGGGTGCCAGCAGAGGCTGCAGAAAGATTCAGAAGCCCCTAGTAGAGACTAGCACCATCCTGGATGAAGAAGAGATCTCCAGGTTTAGGGGAAAATAAAATTTGTGTATGTGCAGATATATAACGTGCAAATTATTACTCAGAAACCAACAGCTTTCCCATCACTCCTGCAAACATTCACTGACATCCTATAAAGTTACGGGCTAACAGTGAAAGAAACGGAGTAAAAGTTTACCAGCTCCTACTTTTCAAAATTAAGTGCCTAAATAAAATGACCAATATGGTTTGAAATGGACATGTGTAAAAGCTGTGATACAGCTTAGCTAAAAAGAACTTGGAAATTCAAGTAAAAAGGCAGAATTCACCACTTTGCCCAAATGTTTGCAATTTATTTTAAACAAGCACATTAGTCGACAATTTAGTACAAAACGGTCACTTTTCGTATGAGGTATGAGACTGAGTAAAAAAACCAAACAAACCGAAACAGAGTAGGCTTGAAAACGTCAAGTTATTGAATTAAAATAAATAAAACATTTAAATTACTGAAATGGTAAATTCATTGTTTTCAACATCTCATACGCAATGCACAGACCTAGACAATACACCATCGACCCGTCGTTAAGAGGGTCAATCCCACCTGGTTCTGAGCACCAACAGCAGGATTCACTGCTGGAAATTAACTTTTAAAGAGTTCTCAGGAATAGCTTCATTAAGTTTCTTCAGCACTTGCAGGTGTTCTCCTGGCACATGCCATGGTACTATATTTTTTTTGTGTGCAGGCTTTATATTTCGTATTTAAAAATCATTCAAAGAGCAAAGGCAGCTCCACGAATTACAAAGGGCTGAGAAATCTTTCTCGGAAACAACCGCCACCAGCGTGGTACGATCCACAAACCAACGTGGCACCGCAGAAACTCCTGTGGCACAACCCGACGCACCAGTAAAACCTCCAGGACCGAGGAGATGCTGGTTTGAGGCAATTTTGAAAAAAGGAAACGCTTTCTTGTAACTCACCCACCGGTAACGCTCCCCAGCAGAAATAACGTATCGTTCAGGTACAGAAAAGGATAATTTGTCATTGTAGGGACAGGAAGTAAGAAGAGTAAGCCGAGATTTACACAAGTGAATTCAAAATTAAGAAAACTTTTCCAGATGAGGTCACTACCAGCACTGAAGCGAAGGCCTTGGCCAGTTAACTGGCAACAGTTCAAGGGACACAGATAACAACATCCTCATTTCATGCTTCTACACTTTTAAGAGACAAAAAAACGCAGCGGAAGTTTGAATATCGGTTCTTTTTGTCCTGTTTCCAGCAAGGTCACAGCAACATGAAAATTAACGTGTAGCAAAAAAACCCCAACTTACTCCAAACCCACATTTGCTGCTGTTTTAATGGCAAAATCATCCCTACAAACCGGCAAAGCTTTTTTTTTTTTTTAATATACAGATGAAAATAAGCAGAATGAGTCAACTCTGACAAATTCAGGTCTGTGTATGTGGTAGAGTTCTGAACGACAGTAGTGACAACCCGTTTTCACCTTTGAAATGCGTGGCAATACCGACGGCAGGAAACTCAACAGCCCTGCAGAATCTGGCCAAATTTTCCGGATCTGACACTTCCTACACTGCGGTTTTGGTGGGTTCTTTTTGAGAAGCAAAATGTCCTTGCCTGTTGGCCGAGAGCAACACCTCCCCAGGTTAGATTACATAAAAATTGCCTGATTTTCAAAACCAGATTTGGAAACTTTGGGCTTTCCTCTTCACAAGCCTCCTCCTGGGACCTCTCGCCGGACGCCAGCACGAAGCAAGCGGCACCGACATCCAGCCTGGATCACCTCCCGCCACAGCTTCTCTTGTCTTTCCGGTTCCTTACCAGCTGCTTTAACATTCAAGCCCAGGTGCTATAAAGATAATTACAGGGACTTCCATAAATTCCTAAAGAGAGACCCGCGATGGCTCCTTGCGCCGGCGCTCTTGAAAAATGAGGGTCCTCAAAAAGCACAGATGGACTTAATGTAGAAATTAAAAGAGAGTTTTCACGTGAGACCCCAGGCAGAGGCAGCAGCTGCCCGGCAGCTCTCGGCTCCACGAGAAAGCAGGAGGCAGGAGCTGGGCCCCAGCTCCACCGAGAGAGTGGGGGGACAAGTTTCTCACAGTGGAGGAGCCGAGGGGTGCACAGAACAAACAGCGAAGGTGGCTTAAGGAAAGCACAGAGAAGGCACCTCTACGTTTGTCAGACTAACAGCGTCACGTGGTCAGGGATTTTTTTTTCCGCTGACACGTTTACCACACCCACAGAAGGTTTAATACTTTACGTGTACGTTGTTTCGATAAACTCAAGGAACGAGGGACAGCAAATCTTTGGAGCTCGGTTTCGTTATTACAATTGAAGCAGCAGACACTCAGGTCAGGAGCGTTCAGTTTTGGGAACAAACGAGATTTCATGATGAAGAAATATCCCTGCGGAGTTGTTGTGCTTTTAGACCATTGTTGTTGCCAGGCTTTAAACTTTTTATGCTGGGGCTTCGGATGGGAATAAGAGGAGCACAGACTAACAGTATAAATACAACGAATTGGCCAGGGACTATTTATTCCTTCTCATGTAGCAGAAGAGTTAGCGAACATGCAATTAAATTAGAAGTTGCGAATGTAGAATTGAAAGGAAAAGCCTTTTTATATAACATAATTAATCTGTAGAACTCCCTGCCACAAGAAAACATTGAGGCCAAAACCTATTAGGATTAACTAAAGATTAGGTAATGGATAACTAGAACATGCTCAATTACATTGGATAGGATTATAAACTTCACTATCCAGGACGTGAATTATCTCCCCCAGCTAGGATCAGAGAGGAACTCCGATTCCAAATGGTCATTTTATTACTGTTTTCACGGTTTCTTCTAATTGCTGCCAGCCAGGACCCCAGCCAGACCCATAAGGGCAACTGCCACGTTCCCAACTGCTGCCACGTCCCAGGAGGGAGCAGTTCTTGGACTTCACCATGAGTGAAACCCTTCTTCCCCCAAAATGCAGAAGTGGGGCAGACGACTCGACAGCCAGCAGGTGACAGATACTCTCCGGGAGCTCCAACCTGGAAATACCAACCGCAGTGTTCAGCCCACCTTACAAGAAGAAAACTACTCTTCTGGGATGGAGTTAACCAAAATAAGAAACTTCGTATTTCCAGATGTGTAAATCTGTCCTGGCAGGCTGATGTTTTCTTTTGCTAGAATTCATCAGGATTGACTTCCATCCCGAGAACACAGTAATTACTCAGCTCAAAATTCTGATCCATTAAAGAGCGAGGCCAGTTCCCTAACACTCCAACAGAGGAGCAAGTAAAGCACTGGCTCCGAGCCTCTCCCTGCTCACATCTAAACTCCACTGAAACGGTCAGCAGCGATCAGAATCAGGTTGCTTACCGAGATACAAACTGCCCCAAAACTCTCACCCGAGCACAGACAGGTGAACACATCCTTGGCTGGAATGCACAAGAGAATGGAAGACTTATTTGAACGTGTAATGCTTTCCACTTTAAATACATGGTGTAAATAATATTTCAGAAAGTCACATAGGTTTACAATCGATTTAATCAAAATAGAACTCTAGTTTCTTGAAAAAAAAAAACCACAACAAACCCGAATTCAGAATTCTTGCTTCTCCAAATGAAGCAGCCAAGTAACAGCGTATCCATTCAATACTCTGGTAGGTGGAATCAGCTCAGGACAAATTGAAAATAAGACCAACCCTGACTTGAGGTACACAAAACAATATCCAATTCCCTTCTGAACCAGGCACAGTTGATTGCATAATGCAATGTTTACTCTGAAAATGAGTAAAGGATGTAGGTGGTAAAGTCACAGAAAAAAAATCTTAACTGCAAAATGTGACGCTTCCTTCAGCGGACATTTCATGCCAGCGCTGCGTGCCTCACTCACAGATTAGGGTTCTTACAGCGAGCTCCATATATTAAGCAAGAACACTTGTGAAATGACCTGGGAGGAAAGGGGTTTGAAACAAGGAACACCGTATATAAAATCCCTGATCATAAATATTAAAGCTGTATCTGGTACTGAACAGCCACGTACAACGAAAACTTCGCCTCCGACTCAGACGGCTATACGGACGAACGGTAATACTTCACCTTCCACCGTTTAGACCTCATGCGGAAAAAAAAGTACATTATCATCAAAAACACGGACGATGCTACGTACAGGATGACACACAGGCTCATGTCTATGTTTGAAAATCCGATCCCCAAGAACGACACGGCCTGCTTCGTGTCCTTAACTGATGCGACTGCGCCTTTACCCCCATCTTTGTGGTTCAGCTTCTCCAAGACCTTAGAATCTGCATCCAGCATGTTCTCTTTCTCCTGGATCTTATTTTCTCTGTTTCCAGTTGGTTTCTTCACAAGGTTTTTGTCGTTCGCTTCCTTTGCATCTCCCTGCTCAGCTTCACTGGAGTCAGTCGGGTTTTCAGTGTATTTATATAGAATATTTTCAGTGTTATAGTGAGCCTTCATGAACTGTAGAACTTGGGCTTCGTTCCAGCTGTGTAATCCTTTAATTTCTTCATGACATGCAGGACAAATGTCTGGGGTTGGCCACTGAACTTTGGGAAATTTTGGATCTTCAGTCAAATCACCTAATTGGCAGGAGAAAAAAAAAATAAAGTATCAGAAGTGAACGGACTGGGAAAGCTGAACCATCAGACACTTCACTGGAAACCACAGGGAGTATTTTCCACGTATAAATATTAAGGTTGGCAAGAAAAGCCTAGAGCACAACAATGCTTGTATGAAACTGAAGACAATCATGACGGATTTTGGAAATTCCTAAGTTTCCTTACAGACGCCGTTCCGAATTATTGCTTCCTTTTTCAGAATACAAACGCTAAGTCGTAATTATCGTTTTTCTTTTCTCCCAGTAAAAGCGGCAGCGCTCGAGTTCTAACACAAGATTCTACAATTGCTCTGTTTTTAGAGAGCATGAAAACCACCGTGTGGGCCCTTCAGGGGTTAACGAGAATTCTGGTTCAGAACGAACTGCTCTCTGGCACTAAACGCTCTTTAATCCCGGAGCTTGGTTTGCAGGAGCAGCTTCAAGGCCAAGGACTTGTGGATATTTTCACGTTTCTATACTGTGAACCATTCCTTCCTAAGCTTGCTTTTTCATCTGCTTGTGTTATTCCTACAGCAAACTATTCTAAGTACTTCCCAAACCATTATCATATTAAAGATGCATTTTTCCCCCACTTGCGTTTTTAACATTTAAACACCTGACGCCGTCTCGAACTAGATCCGATTTTAACATTTCGGTTGCTCATAGCTCCGGCCGCCTGTCTGTCTCGGTGGCAGGGCACAGAACGCTGTAGCTAGTTTTGCACTTTGTGCTAAAAAAATAAGTTAAAATGTGGATGGAGATGATTTCTTAGAACAAAAACCTCTACCTGGTAAAAGAGCTAATTTATTTAGCCGATCGTTATGAGTACACTACTGCTTAAAATATTTCAGAAATACAGATTCCTATCTTTTTTATTTTTATGTTTTTTAAAGACAAGAAACTTCCCTGTGATTTTGCACAAAATATTGTCCTGGGATCCAAACGATGCTTGAAAATATTTGTCTCCTTGACAGTTACAAGGAAGAGAATGAGTTTGCATTTCAGGTATCTTAAATACAGATCACTCAGTCCTCAGTTTGTTTCAGTAGAGAAAGTAGAAACAAAACTTGCTGTATTTCATGTTTTCCTGCCAAAGGCAAGAATGCTATAAATTCTGGACATTCTACAGCAACAAGAAGGAATTAAATAGGGCAGAGCCATGTACAACAATCTCACGACCCGCACCCGAAGGCTGTGCCAAGGTGTTTTTACTGACCGGCCAAACCTCATCGCTCACTGAAAGCTCCAGACGTCACCAGAAACACCGATGCAGCTTTTAAGGATTAAAATAAGTCACTGTCTCAAAGAGAAATTTTAGCAAACTTAAAAAGCATAATTTAACAATATTATTTATTCCGCTACATTTATACTCCTTTATACTTCTTACTAAAAGGTTATCTTAGCCAGCTGTTGCATCATCTAAATCGACATCCATGCGAGTTTTCCAGTAATTTAATGTTTTAAATATATCGCTCCGCTACTTAGCAACTTCCAGTCACCAGGACTATCTTCTTCTGTGTTCAACCTGGCAATAGCAGCGAACACGAGGGGCTGTTTTTATTTAAATTCCTCATCATTTACTTTTTCCTCCTTGGAGAAAAGAGACAAACTGTTTATACTCGCGACAGTATTTACTACTTCATAAATCTTGGGAATTCAGCCCAACCATAACATAAACACAATATAGCATATTTATATTGTAACTAATTCTACCTTACGCAGATCCGTAACAGCAGACAGGGATTAAGTGCAAAGAGAAACCAATTTGCTTTAGTGCTTTAGTTACTTGATATCCCCATAACAGAACGGATTAAATACAACCAGTTTTTTGAACAGTACATTTAGTCTAACTGAAAACACAGCAATCTAGCAGGGGAACAGATTTTCTTTGCACAGTAATTTTATTTTATTCAGTTGCTGATCTGCTAATAGTCTAGGCTCTTTTATCCTAAGAAAGTCTCCTGTTCAATTATCATAATTTTCTCTACAGCATCTCTCCAGAACAAAACGGAGGCAGGTTTTAACGTTTATTTAAACTGTTACAGAAGGAAACGTTAATTATTTTGTATTGAGCAATAAGTAACTGAACTGTATTGCTCCTTTTTGAAGTGGCTTTGACTGGTCCTCCAGAAAGATCAAGCAACAGGTGAAATCTCAGAAGAAACAGGATCTTTGAGAATAATGACGTTTTTTCATTACATATCATGAGAGTTATGGAGGACCGTTACCGGAGGGTTGTGCATCTCAAGGGTGTATTTCTCAAGGTGAGCATCCTCATTTTTGGAGTTACAGTTATCAGGATGCTCTAGGTTTTGCTCTATACACAAGTGCCTGCCTTGCACACCAAGTCTTTTGAAGTTGGTATTTATAAAGTAACGTCAAGCTGGCACAACTTTCCGTTGTTCAAAACCCACGTCAGAGTCCGATCTGCCGATCGCGGCGCTCGAATACAACCCACACTGTCTAAAAGGCCACGGCCTTGTCTTTCGGGCACGGCTCCCTTCGGTGGCTTTTCCTAAGCAAGGTCTTCCCTACCTGCGAGCCTGTTGTTCACGACGTTGTGTTTCTCCCAGAGCCAGAGCACAGCCTTGTCGAAGGTCTGAACGGAGTCCATGGACTCTTTGGCCATTTCTTCGAAATGCTGGGCACAGGCCTTGCATCCAAAAAAGTGGTGAATGTATCTCCGCAGGATCTGAAGCACTGTCTGGGGACTATCTTCAAGACCTGGGAAGACAGGTGATGGATGCATTTAGCCTCTGTGTAGATGCTTCAACGAGAAGCAAACCATTGGATTGGATGATCTCTAAGGTCCCTTCCAACCTAGGCCACTCTACGATTCTATGATTTACTTGCAAGTAAAAGGAAAGGAAATGCTGTTGTTCCATGCAAATTTGTACCTTCACTTGAGAGAGAAGAAACTGGCCTTTTCCATAATTTGAAGCTCTGCAAAGAACACGGGCAATCCTACAGAACCTGCCCCAAAGCTATGAGAGGGATTAAAAGCTTCACACAGGTCTTAAGAGAAACACCCCTCCCCAACAAAACACATATTGAATATCGTTGTTAAGTAGTCAAAGCGAAATGTTCATTTATTCGTTGCCAAATAATTCGGTTTCTAATGTAGAGTTTAAAGCGATCTCAAGCAGTACCTGTCAAAATACACTGTTTTAAAAGGCTGTCTGGGATATCACACACAACTACAAGGGAATTATTTCACACACATTAAGGTTCCAAAAATGCTAGGTGAGCAATAGTGTTATTAAAAATGCAAAGCAGTTATTTATACCAATACATACCGACACATCCAGTGTACAAAATTTATGTTCAAAGTCACCCTGAACCCATTAAATAAAAGTTAAAGTGTTCTTTACAGTGAAATTTCTCCTTTCAAAGAGTATCTTACAAACTTAGCTAAATGAAAATCAGACGTTGAAATTGTTTTTCAGAAGCCCAGTATATTTTGAATTTTTTGTCCATACTTCACATAGTTCTTCTGGAAGTAGAGACTTTCGAATATTTATGTTGTGCATTCACCACTGCATTTATGCTCAGGCACTAAAGTTAGGGTGACCTTGCTGTCAAAACCTGTCTGAGAAGTATTTCATAAGGTGCCTGTGAAGTCTGTTTGTTTCTCCATCACTCCGAGGTATTAGAGAATATCAAAATCTCATCAGGGTTATTAATTGTGCGGCTTTTTTGGCAGGCACTGAATGAACACACGTCGCAGCTACTTAGCAACATCCGCACTTTCAAGAGTAACTCTGGAATTCCTCTGAAAATAAATAAAAACACATTACTCCTTCTGTAACACTTGCACTTCTACACTAAAGGTAATGCAAAAAAACCCCAAAATCATTACTTTATTCAGAAGTAAGCTAAGATCTTTACAGAGGGAGAACTTTGTCCTGGGCTTTTATTGTGACAGCAGGTAGTCCCTGTCCCTGTAAGGTTTGAAAACTTGATATAATTCGTTGAAATCCTCATGGTTTCATCTCCGTCTCACAGATTTTCTGATTCCCGCTTAATTGATCCAGTGAATTATGCCAAAAATGTATTTACGGGGGTGCTATTCGTCACCGTGAACACACACTTGTCAGGCAAAACACATTTCCTGACACAGACTGATCAAATTACCGACTCCCGCAGCTGAACACCTCTACCCCGAGTAATTTACAACGCGGGGTTTGCAGGGTCTTTAGTAAAGGGTGACGGCGCTCTGCTCGCTGTCCGAGGCCCTCCATACACGCACTGTTTTTAGGGGGAAGAAAATATCCTCAACAAACCCTACTCTAAACCAGCAAAGTACTTACCTGTTAGGTATCTAGGAAATGCATGAAGACTGTCCTAAACACCTGTATTTAGAACAGCAACGCTGTGTTCTTAAATACGGCAGCAAAAATAGTCTCTGGAGCCAGAAAGAAATCACGAAAAGGAACCAATCTCTGCTCAGACATGCAATATCTGTGATTGAATAGGCACGTATAAATAAAAGCTATGAGATTAAAGCAGATTAAATTACAGCATTGAAAGAAGCGCTGAAAAATAATTTTGGAAAGTTGAAACGAATTTCAGGCAAAACAGTATTATCACATATACTAAAATATATATTTAGAAAAAAAATCAACAACAAACACGACAACAGTAACTATTAGCAAATATCCTCTTTATGGAGGAACAGAGATTCATAAGCAAATTTAATTATGTCTGTTCTCCTGTGCAGTGTTATGCTTTTGAAAATTCATTTTGTGGGGAGGTCTTTCAAATTCAGCAACAGACCAAAGAGAATCCAGATAATTTTTAAATTTTTTTTTAAATATAAAATCCACAAGTCTGTCATATTCCCCCTAATGGATACTATTACCTAAAACCACATTTCAAATAATTAAGTGTGCTCAGGACTACATTTCTACACCGATTTTATGCATCCTCGGGTGTGAGCGGTTCCAATCAGAGTTCCTCCGGATTCCCCTGTGCTGACCCCACTGCGGGTTCCAATTATGCCGTTCGCCATTAAAGCATGTCGAACATAAACTACTAAAACCATTATATCAAGAAAGCCGTAGCAAGTTCACGCTGACTGGCAGCCTCTGCAAGCAGAGAAAACTAGCAAGAAAACAAAAAAAAAGCTGCTTTAAAAAGAAAACAAACAATTGCAAAATGGCTCATTTTTGTTTGTTTTTCTTTTATCAGCCCAGAGATGAATCTTCTATTAACATCTGCCATGTATCATCGTGTAATCCTCCTTTTCTCTTTCCTCCCAAACTACTGCAATTCAGGGTAACCCTAATCTTTAAAGTGGACAAGAACCATAAAACCCTACCTGTGGTGGGAAGGATTAGGGAGTACATCATGCTTTTTAGTAGATGGGATTTAAACAAGCAATAAGGAGAGGAAAACCTCCCAAGACATAATCCGGCAGTCTCAGACTGACCCAATTCTTTCGCCATAAGAAGTGATCATCACATATCTGGCCCGATTTACATCGATGGCTAAGTGTGCCAAAGAGTTTTCAGGTTCCACGATGTATTTTTAACTTCAGATCGACTAGAGCCCGCGCTTCAAACACGGGAGCGATTTAAGACGCAGTTTCGTGTAGTTAAATATTAAGAATGTTTTTACGCTTGATTAGAACATTTTTTGGCAATAGGAAAAAAGCAGAAGTTTAATTTGAGTGTGATCTCGTTGAACAGCTAAAGCAAAAAGCCCTCAAACTCAGCATGTAGAGCTCAGTGCTGAATTAAAGGGATTGAAACTACCGTCCCATGAATAACAAACAAAATAAGAAACAGCACAGAGAAACAAAATCAACAACAGCATGATTAGCTATCAAAAAAAATTCCTTAACCGGCAGGAGATTCAATATCAGGAACTGAGAGATTTTCACCATCGTTGCAAGTAATGCTGGACAAGCATCGGTATCTATAATTTGAATTAAGTATTTTTTTAAAAAAACATACCATCAGCAACTGACCAATTGCAAATTACTCAGTTTTATGATCTAGTAACAGTCCACTGAGTATTCTTATATTCCGTGAATACATCAAAAAGGCTTTACATGAAAACTAAACAGAAATATAACCAAACAAAGCACTGCCCCGGCAAGAATAAAAGCAGATGAAGGTCGATATTTTACACTAGTAATTCTATTTCAATGGTGCAAGGAAAATATATTATATATCCAGCACAATTCTTAAATGGGAATCGTCACCAGAATATTAACCCTCCGTTTCACAAGATGCTGCACGTCAAAAAATCACTTGCTTTACAGAGCGCTTGCAAAGCAGTACATCCCTGCAGAGATTAATGGACACTAGGCACATTAAGCTGAAAAAAACCCCCAAACAGTCATAACATCCAGTATTTTAAAAAATTACATTACAGAAGGGTTGGCTCATGGTTGTACATCCTTTATAGCTGCTAAACTGTACGGTTAAGTCTCATTCTTCTCAAATTAAATGAGCATTGCAACCTCAGGCAAGCTGAACAATCCTCATCCCTTTTCAGGTCGTTCAGAATTTCTTTGTTTGAAACTCTCTTTTTTTTCCTGCTCTACTGCTCACACTTTATTTACCACGTTTCTAAGCAAGGACAAACTGCCGGGCTCTCTTTCCTGTGCCTTCCCGCTGCAGTGAAGCGACGCTCTGACCTCTGCTGGTACCAACCTGAAAGCTTTTGCTCGACAGCCACTGGCCTCCACCAATGCATTAACTGAGTATTTTTATTTTTTTTTTAACACTCAAAATTTGCCCTAATCCGTTACTTTCTCTATTGTACACATACTCGTTTCATCCTTCAACACTCATCTCATGTAGTTGCTGCTTACCTGTATTTATCAAAGCTTTTGGGTGCAGCGCAGCTTGGACAGTGAGGGTATGAAACAGCTTCCAAAGGGAACAGGAATAACCTCTCAGCTCTGGTCTGCTGCCCTGACATCCAACCCACTGAACCTTCTTACTGAGAAATATCCCAGAAATCTGAAAAAAAAAAGTATTTTTAAAAGTATTTAGCTCTGGGACCTAAATGCAGTACTGAGTGTAACAGCAGTCACAGTTGAACTTACCTTGAAACTGAGGTGATACAAGGATAAAGAATAGTAAATGACTCTCTCTGCATTTGTTGCTAATGAACTCATGCTTAAAGCAAACGAATTTCAAATTTTTAACAATCCTCAAGTCTGAGATACTCTGACATACCATTATAAAACTCATCCCTCTTGCCAGCATATTACACAACACACAATGTGCAGGAACTGATGACAAACCTACTAAAATGTACATCACAAATGTCTCATTAGGCTGACAGAAAACATTAAGTAGCTGAACTTGTACGTTGTTTTTTGAAGCACGATATTAACACAACACACACAAATACTACTGTGAACCGAGAGCTGCAGCTTCCCTGGGCACATTAAAAATCACTCAGCAAGATCCCGGTGACTCCCAGTGGTAAAGCCTTAACAGGCTCCTTATTCATTCTACCTAAAATCCAGCGCAAGATTTTAGTTTCTGAGACTTATCCCTCTGCTTCCTAAAATGCATGAGAGGCTTCCAAATCGCAGGCAGCAATGTCATTTCATGGGAAGAAAGACTCTTATTAACTTCTGCACAAAGATCGACCACGGAGCTTCACATTCCCAAAGCGAGATGAGATTCCCAGCGAGCGCCTCGCTGTGACAGGAAATTCAAGAGTATTTAGGGAAACTCTTCAGGAATAATGCCCATTTCAGTGAGTAAATTTCCCATCACTTAAACTGTGACGTTCGAGAGGAAGCTGCCATGAGCAGGCACGGCGAGAGAAGGCAACTCAAAAATAAGCTGCTGGGAATCTTGCATCATGTGAAGCTGACTTTAGGGAACATGCACATGTCAGCATCTGCTTGCTCATTATAAAACTGAGACAGGATTGGCTATTTCAATTCTCTCATTTCAATTCCTTCATGTGGATTTTTTTATATTTTTTTTTTCCTGGTAATGATTTTGTTTTCATTTTAACCTTCTTATAACTCCATTATGACTGAGGGACCATCAGTAAGTGATGTCTTAGATTTACACAGAATCTTATCCTTTACTAATGCTCTATTTTATGCTGGGAACTAGCAACAGCTTACCCGCATTTTGTTGTTGACCAGATCTAGGATAGCATCATAAGGGATTTTGTCTAATGGAAGGCTCACCAGCCACTCTTGCAAGGTCTCTAACAACTTTACCACAGGCTGACGGCCAGGAAAAAGCTGAGGGAAAAAAAAAAATAAAACACGTAAGAAAATATCCACACTTTAAAGCACAGATGTCACTCGCAGCAAGCCACTTTTATCTTTACCCAAATGTGTTTTTCCTGTATTTAAAATGCTTCATATTTTCCTCTGTTACGAGTAAATGAATTACTTGTTCTGCTTTCAATACGACGCCGTCTCACGCCAGCTTTTGCTTGCACAATTTAATAAGCTGCATGCACAAAATGTTAGCCAGTAGAATGAAACTACCCGCTAGCTGGCAGAAATGCTATGGAACAATTTTTTGACAGGTTAGATCGAATTTGGCATGAAGGTAATTCAGTTCAGCATATAGCTCAGAAGAGAGCGTAAGAGCTTAGCGAATCAGAGAGGCTGAAATCCTCACTATGACATTAATCACAAAAATTAGTTCTTACAGAACTTTTGTTCATGTACAAGTTGGTTATCTAGAAGAGCATTTTCCTTTTCATACGTGTAACAGCGATTTCCAAAGTGATTTAGAAATAGTGAGTTCCTTAACTTGCAACTTAAAGAAGTCACAGCCTAGCAGATGAGTAAATCAGTGGTAACGCCCTTATTTTACATCAAAAACAGTATTTTGCTTTCATGAGGGTTGCAATTACTACGGAATTAAGCAGAGCATGCATACCATCCTCTAAGAGGTTCCAGAGAGAGCAGTGTTTCAGTAGATGGGGAAATAAAGTCCCTGTATCTGCTCCATTAAATACATAAAGTAAATTATGACAGAACACGCTGAACATAGGCTGATCGTTCCGCAGCCGTTGCCCAACTATTGATAACCTCTATTTCACAGACCACTCGCTTGATACTATGCAAATCTAACAGGCAGGAACAACCTTTTGCTAATTGTTTGTGCTGTATCTAACGCAAGGGACCCTGTGCATCGCTTGTGCTCAAAGACAACTCTTAAATAGTCTGTAAAAAACCTGCATACCCCTACTGCCTGCATATTATAACGGCATTTGTAATTTGTTTGTCCTCTAGCACCCCCAGAATACGATGCAGTACTATCTAAAAGACAGGAGGATAGCATAAAAAGTTTCTCGACAGAAACCCCTGAGAATTGTGACCACCGAGGGAAGTGTGACACGAGGAGAGGACGCAAAGGTGGGAGAGGAGCCCCCGCTGGTGTCAGGGCAGCCTGGAGAGAAAGAGAACATTCCCCGCTGATGCACCAACAGCCTGGGGAGCAAATGGCATCAGCTGGCCGGGGGCCATCAGGGAGACCAGAGGCTGTTTTAGGGATAATATGATGGAAAGATTACCACTACACTTTCTTAAAGAAATGAGGCCAGCCAGAGATTTCTGACCTCTGATGGCAGGCGAGGGGCGGGGGGTAGCAAGAAACTGTCTGTCTGATTTTCAGATAAATCCAGATATTTGGAAATAGTTCATAGAGGCCTTATTATTCCCTTAAACAGCTATTCATTCGCTTTCTTTAAAATATAACAAAGTGTGAGCTGCTCGGCGAGTACATATCAAGAGACCTTGGTCATTTCAGTGGGCTGACATTATAGAGTTAAAATGATTTCTTTTTTTTCCCAAGTCATATCACATTATGTTACATCTGTAGTCCCTTCACTCAGATATAAGCATCTTGAATTTTTAAATATTCAAATTCAATACCTCAATTAATTTCAAAATTTAGACAGAAGATACTAATATCTCTAAATAGAACACCATTTGTCAAGTACGCATTAATGAAATCCAAAAGTCAAGAATGAAAAACAAAGGGGTTTTTTAATCCCACTCTGTTACAATAGCTACTTATCCTGAAAATCTGATAAATAGACTATATTTACAGCGCATGTTCAATATGCTGCAGACTACTTAAGCTTTATTTAATTTCAAGCCTTCTATGATTAAATTAAAATGCATTTCAACCCTACAAGTATGTCAGAGGGGCGTACAGTAACTCAAAAATAACATTCAAAGAAACCCACAAAACTATTTTTTTAAGCCGGTGAGGAAGCACCTATTTAAATGTTCTGAAAGACATTTTGAGAGACTTAGGTCACACAATAAATTTTATGTTAGAGTCACTTTAGTCTTCCAAATAATCAAAGACTCGAAGCGTATACCTTGGCAGAGATGGTAACAAAATCCTTGAAGGTCTTTAGCTCAGCTCCCTCAAGTGTCTTGTGCGTCGCAAGCTCTACCCTGAGCAGGTAATGCAATCCCGATTCAAGGTCAGCCATGTAGAGCTTAGATCTGAAACACACATATATAATCCTATCAAGTGGCAGGTTTCTTTGGCTCATTTTCCAGCCAGTCGCGAGGGTAAAATTGATATATAGTAGGTGGCATTAAAAACCTCAACGTTTGCCACTCCACGGTGATTGCAGTATATCCTCACCCGACCTGGGAAGACACAGCAGTTACTTCAGGCGCTCGGCACGGTGAATGTCGAGTTCAATGAGTGTCACCGCGCTCTTTTAAAAGAGTAATTTCACGTTATTTTGTTCAGCATTCAGGCAAACGAGGCATAACCATACGCAGGAACTGCTTTTCGATTTGACTAAACTTTCTGCCTCCCAGGCAGCTTTTCCTTGCAATGAAACTATAACCCTGACGCTGTCAGCAAGGGAACAGCTAGCGCAAAGAAATTACAGGTTCTCTTCAGGACTGACCACAAGTAGAAAAATGACATGCTACGAAAAAAGAGAGACTTTTGTTGAACAGAAGGTGTTTACACACAGAACAGGAGTGAAAACAAGACTGAAAAAGGTCAATGTTGGGAAGGACTGAATCCAGAAATCCTTCCCCAAATGCAGTAGTTTTACTGCAGGCTCTCAGCCCACAAGTTTCATGGTCAATTTTAATCACCCCAGCTCTTAAAGCACCTTATGACATGTACAAGTAAAACAAATCAAAGATTTTAAGAGTCCTTTCTCACAACCAGGTACCTTCAAAACAACAAAACACACTTTACAAAGCACAAATGGATCAAATAAACCACCCTGCCCTCCACCACGTCCCGAGTACAAACTTTAGACAGTATGCTGCAGAGCGAGGTAACAGAACAGACAGTCCACACAGTGAGTAGAGTTAATGCTTCTTGTAAGAGTTCATTAGCGCTACTATTTCTAAAACCAAACAGAATTAAAAAACAGTCCTTCAGGCAACTGAACCCCATCTCCTGAGCAACAGGAAATAACATTAAAACACAGAATAATCTATATTCTTAACAACTCAAACTTTATGCTTTTTCTGAATTTATCTCCTTGATTAATAATGTACTCACTTAAATCTCACAAAACCCAGAAAAATTTTGCTTCAAGTTTCTTATATCAAGAGACGTCCATATGAATGATGCATGAAGTTCTCCCAAAGGATCCTGTTTAGTTGGACTGGAGATTCGTACCAATAAGCTTTTGTCTTGCTGGAAAGCAGCTCAATTTAACCAAGTTGTTTTGGTAACAGACTGTTTCATAAAAAATATAATAGTAATTGAAAGAAGATGACACTAATAGTTTCTATGAAAGAAAAATAAGCATGAAATGCAAGCACTCAGTCTTACATCTTTTCCATCTAAAGATGCTGACGGATTATCTCTCTGCAAAGCCTTTGCATCCTTCTCTCAAACAAAGAGGGAAAGAGGGTGAAGTTAAACCTTAACGGATTTGCTATGATAAACATCTTTTACAAGGACTTTAGCATTTTCTATTATACTTGCATTTGACAAGCACTTTTTAGTGGACACTGCTTCTCTATTATGTACACCGAGAATTCTCATTTTCCACAGAAATCTTGTAGCTTGTTATTTTACTTTTTTTTTTTTTTCAGGGACACTGATTACTTGCTGAGGTCTTCCATCACTTCAAATCAGCAATCTATATACTTCAGGTAATAGGCGATAAATCCTTGATGAATAAATACTTGATGAAGTTGAAGCAACAGCACAAAGCTTTGCTCTTAGCTTTGATGCTGGAATCTCCAGCACTAAATACAAAGCCTTAAATTTTGCCCAGCGGGAGAATGCAGATCATTCAGTAGTGACCAACCTACTCAACTCAAGGTGCATCATCTGAGGTGGGATGAAGTAAAATTTTGAAGTGCACTAGGATTTTTGTCAATAAATTACAGCACAGTTTCCCACGTGGCAAGAAAAAACTGCAAGCATATTTTAACAACCAGGCAATTATCTGGATATCAAAGGTGTCACTTACTTATCGAACTCTTTCCACACCTTGATTTCTGTACTTTCCTCTTTGTTTTCTTGAACAGGTAGCTGAAGTGGCAAAAGAAGTTTTTTTCTTACACCTGTCAGTGACTTTAAATATGAAGAAAAGGAAGACCTCAGAGGCTTCAAGCTGCACATAAATGAACAAAGTAAACGTTACCTTTAGCCATAAACCAAGTGAATATCCAAAGGAAATTAGTGTATTTATAAAAGAAGATATTCACTTTGTGTCTTACATTCCCAGTGCAACATGTTATGTTTTGATACAAAGCGAAATGAAACAATGTTCAACTTTGGAATAGTAATCACATTATTTGGATTAGTGGTTTGAAATAAGCAAAAGTAGTATTAGGTCTCTTACTAATAAATGCAGGTAATGCACAACTTTATTCGGTATAATGTATTGATTACTTGCCAGGACATGATGTCATTATAAATACGCAAAAGAAGGTTATAGAATAACTTGCTTTGTATGAAAGGAAGCTATGGAAATTGGTTTTATGGCTTAAGCGAATCTCCTTGTATTCCTCAGACAGAAAACTACTTACATGTTAATTAATCCATGGGACCCATTTGGATGCAGCAGATAGCACGAAGGGACTGAAGTAATCCCAAGTTTCTCAAGCAAAGGCTTATCAAAATTCAACGCTCTCTTTACAACGATGTTTTCATACTGGATCAAGTCTAAGATAACCTGGGTAATGAAAAGATGACATGAATTATACATTGTTCGAGGAATATCCAATCTTGTAGGCCAAGATGTACAAATAGGTGAAGTGCATCATCCTTTAAGTACATCATTAAGTTGTTCACCAAGGAAGCACAGGTACGAGTATTCTGTGGACACTAAAAATTTCAGTTAAAGACGATTTACTCCTCTCTGGAAATTATTACTCCTGTCTTTCTTTTTTTTTTTTTTTTGTCTAACTTGATCTTTTCCCTTTGAAGTCTAACACATCTGAAGAAAACATGAGAATGAATGATAAAATGTCCTCATAAAACCGCAAGATAGCCTGGAGGATATTCCACAGGCACCAACAGGTTTATGTTTCAGGTTATATATGTAAGAGCCTAAAGGCAATTTTCAGATAGTGAAGAAACATTGGTCCCACCACTTTATAGCGTTCTGATGTCAGGCTCCATGACTTAGAAAACAATTAAGGGCTCCACAGGAGTTTAGGCTTTTGCCTGGCAAATGGAGCTGCACAGTCTGTGGTGTCAGAGCACCCAGCTGCCTGGTCAGCTCTTTTTGCTCCCCAAGATCACAGGAGAACAGGGAGAGGTGCCTCCACCTCACGACTTGGGAGTTCCCAGTCCAGCATCCTTGCTCACACCAGCCTCCACCAGCTGTTTAAATCTGATGCTGGGCTTCTGCACTAGAGCTGCTGGGAATGGGCACAAGTTTCTTTGCAAGGCGTAAAATTCAGCGAAAGGTGGAGGAGGCCGAAGAGGGTGGTAACATCAGGATGCCTCAGAGATTTTGTCCACATTGTCTCATACTGTAAACATGAAAACAATGTTATTTTCTATTTCAACGAACTATTCTATAAGTTAAAAAACTAGATAACATTAACAAATTTTTTCTTTTTGAAAGCAGACTCCACTTTCTGACAGACTCCCAATTTTTCTAATCAGATGACGCTCAGTCTTTCCC